GAAACCTTCCCAAGTATGTGTTAGGATATTTTGTGGACAAACTTACAAAAGTCTGGTACCACTCTGTGCTACTAAAGTTATTCATGCCATGCCTAACTTTATATTTCTCTCAAACAGATTGCTCAGAACTTGAGTCATTTATGGTGAGTTCAATTTAAAAGCTGTAGTCCATTGACTATACAGCATTTGATTCTAATTTACATGATAAGAGTAGACATATTTACTCTGTTATACCAGAAATGCCAAGGTATGTTGATTTCATGTAGCTGTTTACTCCAAACTAACATTTCTTGCTTTGTTTGTCTTCAGTGCAAGGAGACACTTGTTGATGGTAGGTCTGCTTCCCACATCCACATTGATGACACAATTGTCAAGTATTCATACCTGATTCAAAATGGGTTTTTTTTGTTTGTTTTTTTACAGAGAACCTGATCTGTGCTGGAGTTAATAGGTGTGTAGTTTACTGTTCTACTCGCTGCAGTGACTGCAAGTTGTTTTCCACAATGTAACTAAGGCAAGATTCTTTTTATTTTTGTTTAGCTCGAAAGTCCAACAAACACTAGCAACAGACAACTCCTCGGCAGCTTTGTGCAGTTTTACCATCACTGAACTCGCCTGCGTCTTGGTAATATTGCTGTCTGCAAACTGTGAATCCTACAAAATAACGTTGTTTGCTTTGGTACAATATGAGGACAAATCCTCAAAACGTTCTGCTAACTTGGATTCATTTATTGTCATTCCTCCACAGCCAACAAGTTTCTCACAAGGCAACTTGGTCATGTTGGCAAAATGCTCTCTGAAAAGCCAAAGGACATACCCAGTTGAAGTTTGGAAGCTTTTTTTCAATAGAACTTCTGTTTTGAATCAAGCTCTTGAGGCATTCAGCATCACGGTAGATCCAATACCACCATTTCAGCATACTGATTGTTTATCTGTGTACATTTTATATCCAACCGGTTGTTCCATCCTTCTAGGCCCCAAACAGCAGCAACCCCGTCTTGACAAATGCCCTTGAAGCTCTAGAAGAAGTGGAACGTAACACAATCAGCCAGGAAGACCTCCACAATGAAAATTTCACCCGCAGTTGGTTCCAGCAGAAGCTCAGTCCATTCCTTGCTTCCTCATCCCCAAATTTCCTGATTTGCCTTAGCGCCAACAACTTCAGCTGCCTGACGTACCAGATTGTGTAAGTACATACAGTGAGAGATCTGTTGCTTTTCTGTAAACAATAGTGCAAAAATCTTGCAGATTATTTTGATGTGAACTACATTCTTTTTTTATCTTAGCGTTGAGGCATTCAGCAGCCAAAAGGCATTCATGGACAGTGACAGACAGGAAACAGTGTTTACTCATTTCATCCAACCTTTCCTAGAGAGAAAAGATTTGTCAGGTAAGGCCAGGATCTTTGGTCCAACTGTATAATATCATATGATGTTACCTAGAGCCAATGCATTTTTCTTCCTTTTATTTTGCAGATCCAGGCTGTGTCTCATCCGTCAATGGTAGTCAACGCTGGCTACAGGCAAACATTGGCAACTTCTCTGAATTTGCAACCATAGAGGAGTTAAAAGCGCTCAATCCAAACTTCTCCAGTGTATGGGCCTACTGCAGTTTCTAACTTGTTCTGTCAAAAGGAATTAACGTATATCTTGTGATTTTGCTAATATTTCCATTTTACTTCCTTATTGGATTTTTATTTTTTCATTTAAAGGCCGACGTTTTGTCAGAGCTGGCTCCATCCCAAGTAGCAGAGTTGCTACTAAGCATAGACATTTCGAATGACACAGAACTGATCGATCGGGTCTTTGAGCGTCTGGAGAATGGCAATGCTGTGGAAAATGTGGATGAGTTCCTGACTAAGCTTACAGAGAATGGACAGGTATACGACACTTTCAAGTGGCAACATAATGGACAGTCACTGACTTAAGAATGACCTATTTTTGTACCAAAAAGCTTGTGAAAACATCTGCATTATTGTAGGTGTGATAATTACTCACATACTTCTGTTTTGCAGCCTCTTGAAACATTGATCAAGGTTCAAAAACATAGCAAAGATGTGGTGTATGACTGCTTCCTTGTCAAAATTATTACAGGTTCCAACATTCCAACCTGTTGTGAGAGATCACATCATGAACAGGACCTTCATGATTGTTAGTCCCCAGTTCCAAAGCTTCAATACGCTCAAGTTTTACATTTGGTTCCATGTCAAACTGGCCCCCATCCTTGCAAGTTTCACTCCAGAGATGCTCCAAAATGCAACCTCAAGCATCAACTGTACAAACTATCATGTCATGTATGTTACATTTTAGGCTTAACCGAGTAATGAATCCATCAAAATACAAAATACTTGTGAGGAACTGTGTATGACAGTTGTCTTCCTTTCATTGCAGTGTGAGTGGGCTGTCCAATGTTTTTTCTGCCATACCACAGAATAGACTGCAAAGTCTTGCACATGTACTACTTGACTACCTGATGAGGTCTGCCAGTATCATAAACCAGCCAGGTAGGCCTGACATATTAAAACTGTGGCCACTTGCCCGAGGCATTGAAATTTGGAAGAAAAAAAAACACTACTGAGATATAAAAAACAAAAATGAATGTAAAACTGTGTGACTGAAAAGAGTACTTGCTCTATAACTTGCTGATTAACAGGGTACCTTATTTGTTGTGCTAGTTCTAACCTGCATATACATATGTCTCAGTTTGCAGGCCTGGAATTCAGACTGATGCCCTAGTGCTTGAAGCAAACTTGGCTCAATTTGCTGCCCTGATACCATACTCTGATCTCAAATTCCTCAACCTGTCCCAGGTAAGTCTGACATCTCATGACTAATCTCCCTTGAGAATAGCAAAACTTTTTTCCAGGACCATGCAGGGTCACAAGAGTGTGCTTGTGGAATTTCTGAAAGGAAATTGTCTCATTCATTTTCTTGATTTGCATCATCAGGTTGCAGTTCTGAGTGTCCTATCACCACAACAGAAGGCTCAGCTGATACTGGATCCAGACAGTGGTGCTTTAAAGGATGCTACCCTTGTGAAGGCTGTGCTCACAAACTTGACGGAGTCTGGTGATGTTGAGCAACTCAGTCAGTTTTTCTACAGTTTTGTTCAAATCACTCTGCAGGTGAATGCTTAACACTAACTCCCTCACATTTTGTCCAACATGTTGAACGCAAGCCATTTTTGAAGAGGCTCAAACTGAATTCAATCATGCATTTTTTACATAACTTGAGTCCTTAAAACATTGAAAGGATCCCTGGACTCCTGCCATAGATACAGCATATATAAGCCACAAAACACATTATTGGGGAAGAATAATTTGCTTGACAATTTTCTGTTTTGTTCACGTAACTTGAAACATTAAAAGGTCTATTGAACAGCGGCTTGGCATCTTTTCTTTACAGGAAAACATAACATTCATTACAAATGGAGATGTACGAGACACCATCTTGAATGTGACCCTAACAGCCCTCGCACCTGAAATGGAGAACTTTAAGCCTGAAGACTATAAACTGTGGTTCCAAGTTTATTTGTGTACTGTAATAGCAAGCCTCCAACCTGGCAGCTTGTGGGTGATACCCAAGAACATCAGCTGTGCATCGTATGCTGCCATGTGAGAAATATTTCTTAAAAGTTTAGAGGTTTTGAGATTAAACAATGTCAAATTCTGGTTCCAGACAATTTGCAACATTTACTGTTTTGTTCTATTCAGAGACACTGGTCTTCGGGATAGTTTGACATTCTTGCCACTGGACCTTTCAATGGGTGTGAGATCAAGCTTGGAGTCACTACAGGAAACCTTCCCAAGTATGTGTTAGGATATTTTGTGGACAAACTTACAAAAGTCTGGTACCACTCTGTGCTACTAAAGTTATTCATGCCATGCCTAACTTTATATTTCTCTCAAACAGATTGCTCAGAACTTGAGTCATTTATGGTGAGTTCAATTTAAAAGCTGTAGTCCATTGACTATACAGCATTTGATTCTAATTTACATGATAAGAGTAGACATATTTACTCTGTTATACCAGAAATGCCAAGGTATGTTGATTTCATGTAGCTGTTTACTCCAAACTAACATTTCTTGCTTTGTTTGTCTTCAGTGCAAGGAGACACTTGTTGATGGTAGGTCTGCTTCCCACATCCACATTGATGACACAATTGTCAAGTATTCATACCTGATTCAAAATGGGTTTTTTTTGTTTGTTTTTTTACAGAGAACCTGATCTGTGCTGGAGTTAATAGGTGTGTAGTTTACTGTTCTACTCGCTGCAGTGACTGCAAGTTGTTTTCCACAATGTAACTAAGGCAAGATTCTTTTT